TTCAAACTCCTTTAAGCATGCTTTTAAACATGCTAGCCGAGTGAGCAAGAACTCTCACCAGCAGTGTAGTTTAAGTTTCAATACATTTAATGGATCGTAAGCGCGCAGTTTGACCTCATGTTGACGAATGACTCCATAAACAGTATACGTGTATCTACGGAAAGTGGTTGAAAATGACTGCAGTAATATACTCTCAAGTCAGCTGCAAAATGTGAGGATTATGAATGTCTGTCATGATCAAGGGCAAGGGGAAGCCACAGAATCGTTGTAACAGAGAAGGCAGATTATTCTCTGTCTTGGGTCAAGTCAGTTCTAGCAAAGAGCAGATATGGAGCGGGTGTAGTAATTCAGTGAATGACTGTGTCGTTTTGCACGCTAGATCTGCAAACAGGAGAATCAAAATGCAATTCTCGTGTGGTCATATTTGAACGTGCGAAGCTTACGGCTCTAGTGTCTGGTGCGAGTCTCCCAAGGCTGCAATTTGCCCACGTCTATGTAATAGCCGGCCATAACTGGTGCAAAATAAAAACAATAAATTCGAAAATTTAAAACAAAAAATTAACTGCCGCCCTCGACGGCATATGTGAAAGTATGCCTATGGCGGGCAATAAGAGCTGAAACGAAGCTCATAATCGTAAGTCAGACTTTCGGCATTTCTGGCTTACGTGCCTTTTTGGCATCCTAAACTGTCACATAGTTCGACTGAACTATTCTAACAACGCTCCCAGTACTAGCATCCAACGAACGAACAAAAGCCGCTTACACTGGTTTTGGAGAAGTGCCACAGAAAATTACAGACCAGCGCCCGATCTGATTTAGTGAAACTGTTTAAAACAGAATTTGAGTATTGAAGATTTTCTCAAAGATTTGCCTTGATTTGATTTTGATACAATCGATCACTAACAAACAATGCATTGAAGAATAGTATAAATTAAAAATTTATTTTTCGAAGCATGCCTTATTGCAAAGAACAGTATGAATGATGCTGCAACAGCCATAAACATCTGACGTAAGCTTGAATCACCGTCAAGTGTAACGTATCCAGCGAGTAACTCTGATGTTCAAGCTTTGTTCAATCCTATTTGACGACATAAAGGTAGCAAAAATTAATGAGACAGACAGCGAGCTCAGATATGCTTTGCAGAACGCAGTCTTAAGCGACTGAAGTGCACGTCTATTCTATGCGACTCTAGAATGTATATTGCGGATATTAGTGATCTATAAAGCAATGATTTATGAACGTAGCTGTAGGTCAACGAATCTCAGGCGAGATAAAACAAAATGATAATCATACTGGCAACTGGATTCGCACCTTTCTAGTTTCTTCTTCTGTACCGGGTAGCTATTTCCGATGTATAATCGACCTGCCGCGAAAGGTAGCGCTGAAATGACAAACGTGTAGCAGGTATCCTCTAGGGCGTGATCCTTCTGAGGGACGAGAAATGATATCATGGGTTGTACGGATGCGAAAATTAGATAGTTGACCATACTCCGTTGAAGCGTCGCGTTCTGATCAGTTTGCCCAATAATTTCGTTTATGGAATCCATCACTGACGGGTATAAGACGACATAGCTAATGCTAGAAAGCTTTTCGATCTAAAATCGTAGTTTAATCTCACAAAATGATCT